TGGCTTCTAGCTCATTGTCTGTAGTTACTATATATCCCTACTAACATCACATATATGAAACTTATGTCTTTTAGTATAACAATCGTTGTCATGATACAAGTATATATAGGCCGCTTACATGTACGGGTTCGAATCCCCTCTAAACCAAGTGAAATGAATTTTTTTTTTTTAATAAAATGAGGTCGTTTTAAACTTAATGTCCATGTATTAACTTTTATAAATTCACGTAATCATCTATTAAACCCACGTAAAAATTTGTTAGAATTTGACTAACGGAGATACGACAATGTATAAATTTACCGAAAAGTATTGGTTGATGTATAAAATTTAAATATAATTGGAGTTGATGTATGTTTTAGTACATGGCATGAATATATGTACTGATCGAGACCATGATCCCTTGTTGATGTATGAATTGGCGTTTTTCCCAATACCCCTAGTTAATGATGATCCAACTTAACAAAACAAAAACACCACATATATATGGAATGAGAAAGAGAGAAAGCATTATACGTATTCGTTTTGAAGTTTGGGATTAGTAATGATAATAATATATTGGGCGAATAAATTACGTTCACAAGACGGAGTTTTCCTATAAACTCAGCTAGTTGCTTTTATGAATTAAATTTTAGTACTAGTAGAAAAATGTGATAAAAATAATTTATATAAGGAAAATGGGGCAAAAGCCGAATTTTGGATACCTGTATTTTTATGCAATTAAGAGACACCGCCTAGTAGGGCAGTGGGCACCTACCATCTTCACCCATATTGCGTTCCCGTCATTATTTTCACATGCACATTTCAACTATATTCTATATAATTATACCGGTCGCTGATTCAGAAGATAAGTAAAGTTTTAATATGGTGAAGGATATGTTGTGATATTTCACGTCGGGTTATATACTACTCCCTCCGTTTCAGAATATATGTCATTCTAGACTTATCTTTTGTCATAAATTAAGTGTTATTTTAGAGTTTCGAGGCAAAATTTATTAGTTTTAAATGATATTCTATTTTTCTATTGGTTGAAAGTGGTTAGGTGTATAGAAAATTGTGTGTTTATCTTAGAAATATGTAAAATTAAATATTTTCTTAATCTGTGTGTAAAAAGCTAGAATGACAAATAAAATAAAACGGAGGGAGTAATATTTTAACGTGTATAACTTTTTACTACTGATTACGACGGTATATATAATACTTAAGCACACAACATAAGGTTGTTGATTCCAACACGAGGATCTTTATTTGATAAAAATGATATCTTGGTGATGCCAATGGTCCAATTAGTTTAGTTGGCGAGTTCATCCGCCACTTATGTTCTCGAGTTAGTGAATATCTTGATCAGGGCAAACCGTTGTGTCCATCAACCGATCGTAGACAGTAGATCGATGTTTTATAACCCCTTTCCATATCACTCGTAATCGTAACTGTGGCAACTTATAAAATTTCAATGCATGGAAACGACTCATTCATTAACGGGCGTTGTTTTCTGTTAAGTTACTTTTTTAAAACAGAAAATTAATTTCAAAATGGAAATTACGTAAGGTTTTTGTAGAGTGTAGTCGTCGTCTATAATACGGTTTCTATAGAAATTTAATCGCTGGATTTCGTAGCTGCCACACTATTGCGACTGTTTTAATGGAGAGGTGGCTGAGATATTTACTGGCTAACTAAAAATCCCTCCACATCCAACCACATCAACCACCTACATGCCTCAACTACTTCATTTTCTATTGACTTCTTATATATATTATCCTATCTATTAAATATGTTTGCCCATTTTACTATATCAATGCTGCGGCAAGGATAAATTATTATAGTATAGTAGTTATGTAAATTGTGTTATATTTATTAATACTTTGTTATATTTTTAGACTAGGTCCGAGCCTATGTATACTGCTACGATTATTTTTTACACAAATTAATAAACGCATTTGCAGTATAGATTCTCACAAGAATATCAAAATATAACAAAGTATTAATAAATATTATTTTAGATATTTCAAGATTGTGAGAAACACAATTCAAAGTATCCAAAGCAAGTATTGTAAGTAGGTTTCTCAATATTCGTAACAAAAATATTTTTGTATACTTATATCTATCCATACTATTAAAGAAAAATCCTATTTTGAAAATTTTGGATTCTACCCTTGCATTTTAATTTAATTATAATTACATGTCACTCATTTATTTTGGCATAATAAATTAAATTAATGTTGCCTAAGACATTATAACTTAATAAAAGAATATTTCTAAATAAAATCTAACCGGATTACTCTTTATTCATAAAATATCTTAGAACAGATTTTTCATTAATTAAACAAATGGATAACAATTCACACAAGAAATCAAGATATCACGTCTACATATAAAAAATAACATATTGTTATCAATAGAAAAAAGTGAATCCTATATTTGTTTACTTAAGCAAAACATTTGTTACCGGTGTATAATCATTAACTATGTTATGATTAATAACATCATAAAGCCAAATTCATATCTACGCAAATCATAGTCACTGGATCTTATTAAATATGTTTATTTTAAATTAAAACAAATATTTTACAGAATTTTTCATTTTTCATGTCTAATAATTAGTTATAGTTACACAATATATACATAGATGTTATATATTATTTTTATTTGTACTATATTTCATTTTACTCAATTAGTTGGATTATTTAAAACTGAAGAAATATTTATTACTCTAAATACTTCTATATTCATTCAGATTATATTTTAATTGTTATAAATATAATAATGAAAAGAGCCTTCTGCATATTAATTCTAAGATTACATTTCAATAAAAAAATATAAAATATTTGGTTTTCAATATATATATTTATTTATATATATATATTCTTTATTCTTTTTTATTATAAAATTAAGTAAAATTATGATTTTAAAAAGTACAGACGCACTGAACCAACCTTTAACATAATTTTCAATGTAAAAATATTATTTTTAAAAAGTTGATTGATACGAGAGTGTAAAAACCATGAATTATTTTATTTGAATTTAAATTATTAAAATAAAATCAATTTAAATTATTTTAAATAAATAGGCTACTTATAATATATGTATGAATAATTTCAAAAAAAAATCACTTAAGAAAATAAGCACAATAAATTATACATATATTTTTATAATTATATAAAAGTTAAAATAAATAAATTAAATTTTTATTATATAAATATTAAACTAAAAGTTAATGCAGTGCTTTTTAAGTGCGTTATCAAAATCTAGTTTAAGAATTAAGGTTGAAAACTCCTTTATGGATATTATAAGAACGAACTTCTTCCAAAACAATATATAGTCTACTAGTATCTACTAGCATTATCGTTGTATTATTATCTCAAAAACTGTGTTCAATTTTAAAAGAAATACTAATATTGTAAATAAAGAATAACTGATTTAAGTAATTTAAATTCTAACATATTATGGATATCTAGAATGAAAAATGAAAATGCCACATAACCGAAAATATTATATATTAAAACAGAAATCATGATTCTATCATGTGTGATATTTTACTTTGGACAATCTCTTAAAAATCATCACATTTAAGTATCCTATCATTTAATTTTATAATATATATAATTACAAATATTTCTTATTAATATCTTAATAAACCAAAAATATACTATCTTTAAGGAGGATCTCAAATTTGTTTACTATGCTAAAATGAAATAAAAAAATCTGTATTTAAGAACAATAAATTAAATATAATTAAATATAACAATTGATTTATAAATAATATTTTAACCTATTAATCTAATAATTATTAAAAAGATATATAATTATTTTGTTGACCATTAACTATTTTGTAGGTACCTCGTTAACAAAATAAAAGTGTATGCTATATATGATTATTAATATCATTCTAAACATATAATAAAACTCGTTTATAATCATATAACTAAATTAAATATATTTAATAATATATATTTAATACCATTCTCTAGAATGTTGTTCAAACATTAAATCTAAACTGAAAATAATTTAACATATAAATAAATTGTAATCTATATAATAGAAAAAATGTAACATATTTTTGAGTGTAAAACAAATGTTTTACCAATATAAATGTACTAATATATATATATATATATATATATATATATATATATATAATCAACTAAATTACACTACATTTTCATTTTTCTTATTTTGAAATTTGATTTGTTCACACAAAGTTTTTTAAAAAAATCTATTTTATCTAACCAAAAACATCATTAACTATTCACCTAATTATAATTCAACAAATAAAACGCTAACAGTAGAATCGAAAAGTTATTGAAAAAGAAAAATGAATAAACTTGCACTGGAAATTGAAAATATTATCTAATTTGAAGTGAAAATAATTCTCTAAAACGTCATATATTAAAAACAAAATGAATATATTCTACAAACAAAAACTTTAGAAAATTTTATGCTTTGTGAAAATTTTATATGTGTATATATTCTCTAGTAATAATATGTGTATATATTCTCCAAAAATAACAACAATCATCCAGTTTTCAAACACTTGTGCCAATATTTCATTACATTGAACAATAAATTAAGTATTCTATTTCTTATAAAAAAATTCTAACAATAAATTAAGTATTTTTTACTAAATTAATCAAAATGTTTCATTTTATATATACATAGCTAATTTTTTCAAATAAACTTTTTAAGTTTTTATTACAAAAATAGACTTCAAAAAATAAAATAACCAAAATAGACTTTTTTATTTTGAAACTGTAATATTTATTTTTTATTTTTTAATATTTGAAACCCTAAAGCTAAAATTATATCCCTTTAACTCTAAACCAAAATCTAGATTAGTTAACCCCTTGAATAAAAGCTTATTTTGATTATTTTTTCTTCTTACGATTATTTTTGTAAAAATAAACTAAAAAGGTTTATTAAGAAAATTTTCTCTCTATATATATATGTACAACACACAACCATTTTCCATTGAAGTATTTCAGTTTCAAATCTTAACCTCTTTCACAATGTCTTTCTCCATCTCTCTTATCCTCGCAACCGCCATCTCCGGCGCGATCCTCTTCCTATCGACCATCTCCTCCGCGGCGCCAACTCTCGGCGTCCGTCGTCCATTCAACAGAATCTACGCCTTCGGAGACTCTTTCACCGACACAGGAAACTCACGAGCCGGCGAAGGCCCCGCCGGATTCGGACACTTGTCAAGCTTTCCTTACGGCATGACTTACTTTAAACGGCCAACGAACCGTTACTCCGACGGTAGACTCACCATCGATTTCGTGGCGCAGTCAATGAACTTACCGTTTCTTCCACCGTATCTTAGCCTCAGAACAACTAACGGTAGTAACGGCACATCTACGGATAGTTACGGCGTTAACTTCGCCGTCTCTGGAGCAACGGTGATTAAACACGCTTTCTTCGCTGAGAACAACCTGACGCTTGATATGACTCCTCAGTCTTTAGAGACAGAGCTTGGCTGGTTCGAAAAGTATTTGGAGACACTTGGAACGAACCAGAAGGTTTCTCTGTTTAAAGATTCTCTCTTTTGGATTGGAGAGATCGGAGTTAACGACTATGCGTACACCGTTGGATCTACTGTGTCAAGTGACACAATTAGAGAGCTTAGTATTTCAACCTACACAAGGTTCTTGGAGGTAAAATATCCGGTGGTCGTGTACTTAACCAACCGGTTTGATTTGGATTGATTCTCTTATATTTGGATTATAATTAACCATTTTAAATTGTCATTCCAGACACTGTTGAACAAAGGTGTGAGACATATGGTTGTACAAGGACATCCCGCAACTGGATGCTTGACTTTAGCGATGTCACTGGCTGCAGAAGACGATCGAGACTATCTAGGATGTGTTCAGAGTGTCAATAACCAGAGTTACACTCACAATCTTGCACTGCAATACAAACTTAAACAACTTCGGTCAGTTTATATAAATATTCTAGATTTTTTTTTGGTTGGAATACAAGCGTGATTTTGGCGAAAAATATAATTTCTCAATTTTGCGTGAAAACATAATTTTTAAACTTTGGTGGAAAAATGTACTTCTTCCATTTTTGAGAACAAAAAAAGAATTTCAATCCAAGTTTAAATTTTGGAGGTTTGACCATAACATCATGAAATTTAGTTATAGTTTTTGGTTGGAAAACGTAAGTTTTAAATTTGGAAAAATAATACAGTTTTGCGAAGCTGACAGAAAATATAACTTTATGGTTTCAACAGTAACAAAAAATTTAGAGATTACAATAAAAAATAAGAGTGAACTAGAACTATGGAATATTTAGATGCAATAAGATCACACTAAAATAAAAAAATAAAGAAAATAAAATAAGATCACACTAAGTTGGGCATGTCTATTTGGACATGATGTTTAATGGGTATGAACATTTTCTGACCATTGTCCATTATAGACCACCAGTTATAGACCATAATGAAAATGGTCCATATTATACATATACCTTTTTATTATTGTTATACATATGCTTAACAATGAGAAGACATTTAAACAACTCTTACATGACATCAACAATGTTGTTTCTTGTGCTGGTATAATAAAGTGCTGTTTATTAACATTTTTAGATATATAAACGCAGGATAAAGTATCCGAATACAACAATAGTCTACGCAGACTACTGGAACGCGTACCGTGAGGTGATAAAGAACCCTAACAAGTACGGCATCTCCGAGAAGTTCAAGGCTTGCTGTGGAACCGGAGAACCGTACAACTTCCAAGTGTTCGAGACGTGTGGGTCGGCTACAGCCACGGCGTGTAAGGAACCGAGCCGGTACATTAACTGGGACGGAGTCCACTTAACCGAGGGCATGTATAAGGTTATGGCTGATATGTTCCTTGGTGGAAGTTTCACTCGACCTAAGTTTAGTTACTTGTTAAACAAGAAACCCAAGGGTTTATGATAAAAAGCCTTGCTGATTTCCATATATGATTGTATGGTTCTAGAGTTTTGACATTGTTTGTTGAGTACGCGTATACTCCTATTTATTATAGCAAATCCGATGACACAGATGAAAAAAGTTAAAGAGGCGGCTATCCAATATGCATCTTTCAGTCTATTATCTTTTGTTCTCAAAATATAAATAGCTGACGTTAACGATTCAAAACAAGCGTAGATTATACTCAACGAGCTTACAAATATTAAAGTAGCTTATGAGAGTAATAATGTACAATAAAGGAGAAAACTTAAATTGTCACTAAAGAACTGAATTTGTATATTCACTTGTTCAAATATCAGATCAATTGACAATTACAGATTATCATCCAGTTGAATAAAATTAACCCTAATATTCATGAGTTTAAGACATTACACTTGGTTTGATAACTTTCTTTTGGGCTTGTGTATAATATTATGGATACTAAAAAAAAAAAAATCAAATAACATTTATGTGTGTTGTTTTTATTAAAATAAGTGGTAGGACTGAGTGTTTAAAAAGTGTTAGGACTACTGAGTAAGAATTTTATTTTGTATAAGCTAAAGTAATACCACTACTGAGTAAGAATTTTATTTGGTATAAGCTAAAGAAATACCATATACTATATATTTTATGATTTTTGCAAAGTGTAAAATTTTATCTTTGTGATAAGTAATGATAAAAAGTTATAATTAAATGTTAATTTTTAGTATGTAAAATTTGGATTATGTTTTGACATGCAACATTGGTAAAAGAACACTAAAAAGTACATGTCCGGGTTGATCTAATTTGTCTAATTTTGCATATTTTTTGAGAAAACCACCAAAATAATCTTGAATTTTCAAAAAAAAAAAAGCCAAAAAAATTTCACACTCTTATTTAGACAATTTAAATTGACAACTTTTCAGATTTGGCCATTTTAATCTTACATTTATGTTGAGTCAGCCATTCAAATTCAAGAAAGTAAACTGTTAATTTTATTAAAAAAGTTAAACGTGTGTTAAGTATTAAACTATGTTGTTTAACTTACACGAAACAAAGTTGGGTAGCAAACAAGAAATTTATTTACACAACACAGAGTTGGAAGTAGAGTTTCTCGATCCCTAAATCTCTAAATTATCAAACCCCTAATCTTCGATCCTTTCTCTTCTCTGGTGACGACGAAGCTTCATCAACAATTGGATCGGTGGTGTGATACGGTTCATACGTATGTTCATAGACTCAAGAATCAACGTTCATGAAACACAGATCCTCATCTCACTTGTAAAAATAACAATGAGAACAAAGCTTTCCTAGAAAATTACAGAGAGAAAGAGATGAACTAACAAACATTTCTAACTTTTCTTGGTGATTCCTAAAACGAAGCATACTTCGTTTTTATATGTAACAAGTTGTTACTCTCTAACACATGTCCATGACGTCTTCAATAGCTTTCTTTGTATCAAACCCCCTCTTTCAAAAAACCTTGACCACAAGATTAGCTTGAATCTCATAGAAAGTTTTCGTCAACATAGTAGTACGTTCTCAGAGAAATCTCCACCACATAATAAGTTTGTGTCCCCTGTTTTGATGCTTTTTTTGATCAAACCTCTGAACTTGACCCTCCAAGACTTTAACATTTTCTTCTTCTTCTGGTTCTTCAAACATTCTTGTACATGAGCTTCTGTTACTGTTTGGCACTTCCTTGTTGCTTTGAAAACACACTAGTGTGGGAACCGAAATTCACCTACTGTCGATTTCCGTAAAATAAGGAAACTTAGGAAAACTCTAATTTTCCAGAGGAACCGGATCTACGCGAAAGCCAACGACAAGTAATCAAATAAATGCGAAAATATAAAAAACGTAATAAAGCGAAATAATGGAAAAAGTAGATCTTATTTCGATTTCGCGTAAGAGCGTTGCGATCATTACAAGGGTTTACAAGGGCTTTGGCCGCAGGGCAATCAGCGAGTTATCAACATAAAAACCTTAAACCTAGTCGAGTCGCAGCTCGATAACAAAAGACGGAAAAGATAAGAAAAAGGGTTTGATTGATTTCGGACTGAACCTTATAAAAGGCTGCCTACGTACGCCTTTCGAGGATCAAGTCGAACGTAGTTCAGTTGATAGAGCTAGACCAGAGATCGAACTGCCTGGGCGAGTTCATCTAGTAATTGAGCGCCAGTCATAGAAACCGAACTTGTCGAGAAAAAGCCTAAGTTTCTAAGTGCGGAAAATTCCAAGTTTAGAAAAGTTGTAAAAGTCTCAGATGAGAGCTCTGAAATTCGTCCCCTTGCTTCTGTGCTATGCCTCTTGCTTATATAGTCCCTTCCTTGGCGGTCTGGTCATTCCATTTCGCCCAGATTCGAGTTTATCGAGAATCTTCCATTTATCTTTATCTTTCTTTTTTTCCGCGGAAATATTCTATTTATCTTCAAACTTGACATTTATCTTCTTTCTGCGAATAAATCGTCAAAACGTCGTCATATCCTCGGGTTAGATTTCGTTAAAATCGCGAGATAGGCCTTTATCGCATTTTAGGACTTTAAAAACCGTTTTGCGATAAAACCGTTTCACGACCTTAGAAGAGATCGTTTCCTGACACGATGCCGTTTTTAAATAAGTTTCTCGAGTTAATCGTAAAGTTTGGCAATGTTCAATGTTTCGGTTGATCATTGCCGTTTTCTACGATTCACTCGGAGTTTTTATTAAAACGCGTTTTTACGATTTCTCACGAAAAACCTCGAGTAAACCGTATAGTTTAGGCAATGTTCGGTGTTTCGTTTAACCGTTGCCGTTTTATACGATTTCCTTGAGTTCTTTCGAGAAAACAAGGTTTTACGGTTTTTATCGTAAAATTCGAACGGTAAGACGGATCGAGAGGAAACGAGAGACATTTCGACCGTGGTTCAGAACATGATCGTGCTGAAGGACGTATGACTTAAATCGAGGATGTGGGAGATCAAGTGTTGGGATAGTCAGCCCGACGTACGACAAACCGAACCGGACCGGTCCAGCTCGCCGTACGGCGGGCAATCCGTGAAGCTCGTAGCTCGCCATACAGCAAGCTATCCGGGAAGCTCGTAGCTCGCCGTACGGCGAGCTATCGGGGAGGCTCGTAGCTCGCTGTATGGCCAGCTATCGGGGAGCTCGTTGCTTGCCGTACGGTGAGCTATCAGGAAGCTCATAGCTCACCGTACGGCGAGCTATCGGGGAGGCTCGTAGCTCGCCGTACGGAGAGCTATGTGGGAGGCTCGTAGCTCGCCATACGGCTAGCTATCGGGGAGCTCGTAGCTCGCTGTACGGCGAGCTATGGGGGAGGCTCGTAGCTCGCCGTATGGCGAGCTATCGGGGAGCTCGTAGCTCGCCATACGGCGAGCTATGTGGGAGGCTCGTAGCTTGCCGTACGGCGAGCTATGGGGGAGGCTCATAGCTCGCCGTAAGGCGAGCTATCGGGGAGCTCGTAGCTCGCCGTACTATCGGGGAAGCTCGTAGCTCGCCGTACGGTGAGCTATCTGTTATGTGACTAGCTCGCGATTTACGGCGGATGCGATTTTTTTCAGTTTTTTGCTTAACTCGGATGATCGTGTAATCGGCGTTTGTTTTGTTCTTCTGAGATAACGATTTCCGAGTTTTTCGTGGATTTCCTTTGTTTGGAAATTTTGTCGAGTTTTATAAAACGACTTCTCAATTTAAAAAAGGACTTCTCGAGTTTTATAAAACGACTTCTCGAGTTTTATAAAACATATTTTTATTTTTTGCGGAAACTTTTAGCCATTGATTACGTCGTGACCGATTTTGACACCAACAGTTCGCCCCCCAGCTCGCTAGAACCTTGAGCATCTAGCGTGAGGTTCTTGCGAGTGGTTTGCAAGTTATAGGTGAGTTAGGCGGAATTAATGGTTGGAATGGTCCGTTGATAGTGATCTTTCCACTCTCCAGGGAGCGGAAAGTGTTTAGGATTAGTGCTGCGCCTTGTGAAGGCTGCCTACGTACCCTATTGAAGGGATCAATCCTTTCGTAGTTCGTTTTGGAGTTACGGTTTGTATGACATGTTTCCTAGTAAGACCTTTACGGTCTGGTTATGTGTATTGGACCTTTGCCGGCCTTGAGACTAGCCTCGTGGGCTGTTTGCTTTGGCCGAGTGTGCCTGTTATAGTTTTCGAACTGGCCGTGTGCGGTTCTTAGTCCCTGTCGCTTTTGAGGCTTTATTATAAATCAGTTTGCGTTTTTAAGAGCGTGTTTTAATTCGTATGAATGTAGAGGGAAGAATATGAGTTGATATTGAGGGAGGTCTGCGAGTTGTCGTCTCGCATTCCTTTCCCTTTGTGGATCGCCTTATTCGTTTGCTCGTTTTAGGATGTTTAGCAAATCGAGTGAGCGTTTAGATATAGACGAAGAGACATGCCTTTAGGATCTCGATTCATGCCTTGAGACGTTAGAGACCAGTGTGCTGGGTTTAGGGCAAGACCTAGGTTTACTTTCGGATTGACGCTATGCGATGAGTAGTCGGCTTTTCGTTTTGCATGTTGCGATTTTAACCTAATTCCATACCGATTTAGAATCTGCGATAGGTTCTCGGCTTATACGATTCGTCTGGTTGGAATCGAGCGTGTCACCGGGAACAATTTCTAAGTTGCCCAGAAGTGCTGACCAAAAGTTTGGATTTCTTTTATAGCGCTATTACCCTTGTGTCGGGTGTTCGAGAGCTATCTCTGCGAGATAACTTAGTTTGTTTAGGACTGTTGTGAGTTTTTTGTGATCAGCAACAAACTTTTTAGATGTTTACGTTGTTTGGGCCTTCGGGAAGGATACATATGTTAAGAAGTTTTGCGTATTTTATACTCGCGGATGGACTGTTAGGTCTTCCAAGAAAATGACTTTATCGAAGAAGGTATTTGTCTCGAAAAACTAATCTCCGGGTGTCTGCGACGTCTCGTAGTGTCGGAAGTTGGTTTTTATTTTATATGCCGCGTTTAGTGTTCGGAACGTTTGCGGGCTCGAAGATG